GATATTTTATTATTGAAATGTGAAACAATTAATATTTTTGTTATAATTATTCAAAAACATAACTTGCTCTAACTTGGTCAATTTTTATATATTTTTTTTTTTTTTGAACTGTTTAAAAAAATATGTTCAACAAATGGCTATCTTACAAATTTTTAATTCTTAAATGCATAAAATTTTTTTTTTTTTTGATTGAATTTTAAACCATTCAATCAGAATTTCCATACTAAGTATTGTAAAAAAAACCGCGTTTAAATATATTGCTTTCCCATGGAGATATTAAGGGTGATACGGAACTTATGGGACATACTGTATATACTAACAGAGTAAGATTAGTTTTAAACTTTAAATAAAATGTTTTAAATATATTAATCTGTTTTCAATCTTTTAGAAAAACAGTTTGATTAAAAACCTACTCAAAGTTATAAATTTTAATCAATAATAATTSCTCGAATCTCAAGTATTTATAGTGTTTCGGGATATTTAAAAAAGTAACACACCAAGACTTTTCCTAAAGAATTTTCAAAGTGTAATTGAGTATATGAATTGTTAAATCTGGTTTGCGTATCTGGTTGATGAAAATTACTGTTGGGTTTTGGTCCACTTGAACCGTGATGACGCTTTTGATACATCTGCAAATATTGAAAATATTATAAAACATTATGTTAAATTTCATAAAACAAATAATTATTTTTTAAAATATTGAATTTAATAAATTATTTGCTTTATAAACATTAAACATGTAAAATTATTTAAATAAAAGCATTTTCCAAGAACTCTTGTTTCTTCTTAAATATTTGCCATCATAGTAATCATAGCTTTTTGATTAATGAAATACAAAACTTTATATTATTACCAAATAATAAATATATTGTGCATGTTCAAAATGACTAATAAAAACTAATTAAACATTATATTTTTAGAGATAACCACTAGTCCTAAGTTGATTTATCACAGCATTATTTTTCTAACCGTAAAATAGTAATCTTCTTCTAATGGGTTACTATTATGGAACTGTATGGTTTGTATTCCAGCCAACCAATGTTTTTCTCTCACAGTCATAAACCCAGCGCCATAATCAGTCAAATCCGACTGCTCATCAAATGTGTAATTCTTCTGAAAAAAATGTGGAGTAATAAATTAAATACAATAATTATGTTATTAAATATTAAAATATCAATTTAAAATAAAAATGACTTTGATGTGACTTTTCATTGTAGCCTGGAAATATAAGAATTTTATTTTTCAACTTTGTTTTGAACCCCGGCACAATGGCTGTGTTCAACATAAATTTTTTCATTAAATTAAAATAAAATTTTGATGAGTTGAACTACAAAAAACTTTGAAAAAATATCTCTGTGGTCCGTAAAAACAGCAGAGTCACTTCTTGTTTGATACATTTTCTTGATAACCACTACCTGTTAGGTTAGAATGAACTTAGAACCCAAAAACTAAAGTCATTCTATAGGTTTACCAAGTGTAACTAATTAGAAAAAAAAAATTATGTAAAGCTAACCATTTTAGGAAAATTATGATATCCCATGTTTGTATTAAATCTCTTAACGTTATTTATTGGGTTTCTTGGAACGTTATTATTATTCCTTGGAAAATCTGAAATAAAAAAAAAGAGAAATTTATATGCAAGAGAATTTAATAATTCTTATTCTAAGGGTCAGAAGTTATAACGCTTAAAGTTAAAATAATATGTTAACAATTTATGTAAAAAATTAATTAAAATAAATAAATAATTAATTACATAATACTAATAGTACACTGTACTAGAATATTACATGTTATTTTTTGATTAAATATTCTATAATAATAATGAAATGTAATGGAAAAATGTTTGGAAAAATAATATTATATACAACAAGCAACTATAACAAAAATATGACATTATTAAAAAATTTTGGTTTTTGTTACTTTGTACAAATCTTTAGAAGGGAAAATGCCTATTTTTAATAATTAAATATAAAATAAATGATGAGGATGACAATAAAAGTAAATATTAAAAATGGATAAAAATATTAGGATATGAGTACTTTTTTCATAAATTGGAAAAATAAGAATTTAAATTTTTGGTTTAAATTATGTCATTGTATAAAATGGATTTTAACTTATTTTGTTATACTTTAAGAGAATATAGTAAAAAATACTCCAACAACTTCTAAGCTCTAAATATTAAGATCAAGGTTTTATAGTATGAACAACTTTTAACCTTATCATCATAATCTTATTAATAAAAACCAAATAAAAGTGTAAAATTATGATGCAAAATAAATTACTTTTTGGTACAACACGAACGTTTGGTAAATTGTACTGGGGAATCTCACGTTTATAATACGGAGAAAAAGGTAAACATCCTTGGTTTACCTCTGGTACAGGATGGTTATATGATGGGCTTACTTTTACTGCGTCAATCTATGAAAAATATCAAATGTTAATTATATAAAATCAATTATTTTCAAATTAGAAGAGAAAATAAAACATAATTTTCAATACAAACTAATATATATATATATATACATCATAGATTATGTATTAAGATATACCGAGACAACTACGTATCTAATTATAATTAAATTAACACATACAAAAAAACATGTAATACATTTAAATCAAAAACACACATAGGTACCAATGCCTGTTATAATTATAATGAATAGTGCTGAGATTTTGATGCAATTTTCATGCTATGATTAAAATGTATTATCCATAAATACAACATTACTCATGATGATTTCTTTAATATTTTTGCTATTTTTATTTCTTATTACTTTTCTGTAACATACCATAAGTTACAAAAATATAACTCATATCACTTTTTAACTCTAATTTTAAGTGCATTTAAATGAACCTAATTATTCAAAATTCTACAATGTTATTTTGGAACCATGTTAACTAGATATTTGGGCACCAAAATCCCATTCCTATTAACAAAGTGTGATCACGATAAGTGGAAACACTCAACAACTATGTGCAGGCTTCATATATTTCAATTCTGCTTTTTCGGCCAACTAATAAACATTATTGAACACATTTTCAAATAATTAGACTATTTTTTTGACAGTTAATTTTGCGCATAACAATTATTTTTTTTAAATACCATGATCCATTTTTGACCACAAATTATTTTTTTTGGTATTTTTTAATGAATTTTAGTGGTTGAATTTCTTTTCTAAGTCAAAAAATGACCGAATTAAAGCAATTTGATTTTATGTTATTTGCATGTGTAGTATACCTATCTTTCGATGGTACACAAAATAATCGATGAATAATTAATACTATTTTGAATAACTTTATTATACATAAAACAAACACACAAAAATACGGGTCTCTATGAATCGCTTACAAACATATCTCGTCTCTCAATTGAAACCCGCACTGTTCCTCTACTGTGGTGCTTACGTCCTTAAATATTATTTTACAAAGTGCTGCCTCAGCTTATTTGCTTCGTTGGCCTAAAATTATATAATTTAAACATTTAGCTAAAAGAAGTAATATTTATCTATTATCATTAATTGGCAATGCCACATACAACACATTGGTATAACAGATTATAAAATACGTAGTTGGTAATAATAATCTGTTATACCCGTGCAAATAACATAAAATCAAATTGCTTTAAYTCGGTCATTTTTTGACTTAGAAAAGAAATTCAACCACTAAAATTCATTAAAAAATACCAAAAAAAATAATTTGTTGTCAAAAATGGATCATGGTATTTAAAAAAAATAATTGTCATGCGCAAAATTAACTGTCAAAAAAATAGTCTAATTATTTGAAAATGTGATAATGTTTATTAGTYGGCCGAAAAAGCAGAATTGGAATATATGAAGCCTACACATAGTTATTGAGTGTTTCCACTTATCGTGATCACACTGTATATTAAAATATTATGTTTTACAATAAATTAAAAATACCAATTGTCTTTCCAAGTCAGCTACACTTATGGCTGATGAAATTACTTTTGGTGGAGGTTTAGTCAAAATATCGTCTATATGTCCATTTACATTTACTTCTCTGAACCCGGGAGGTGCGTTGAAAACATTCTATGAAACAATGAGTCAGTGTTATGATTAACACGTTAATGTACATACAATTTTAACACAACTACTGATAACTTGCAGAATAATTATTAAAAAATATCACAAAAATAGTCATGCATAAAGACAGCTTTAGCTAAAATTTATAATCAAATACATACAATATTATTAATCATTAATTTTTATAAAAACACATAAACAATTTAAAGTAACTTTCAATTTCATTTTTTTTTTTTTTTCATAATTACAATTCTATTTTTTTTATGAAGTAATACAAAGAAAATATTTAATTTACTTTTTTATTCAAAAATTTCAAAGGGACAGGGAAAAAATGCAAACAAAAGCCAATGGTTATAATGTGATCTAAATAATTTTATAGGACAAATTATCATTAAATCTTCGCGGTAAAACTTTGTTCATACTTTCAACTAACCATTACAGATAATCTATTTTCTCCAATTTCAATATAAAAATATGTTATATTAGATTTACCTTAAGTGTTAATGATTTCCTGTTAAATAAAATATATAATTTGAAAGAGTGATGATCGAGGTGTAGATTATTTTCAATTCACTTTTATATACACTAATATGGCATGTCTCATGATTTTTGATGACAATTGTTGACACTTGTCAACAAAAACTGTTGTCATTAATGACTTTCAATAATTCAATATTAAACTAAAAAAATATTGTTTGCATATTTCTTTTTTGTGTGTGAACAGTATTTTTCTTTTATGCACATAAAAATTTATGAGATTAAAACCGGACAATTTTCTAAAAATAATCCAACAATTATCCTCTTTGAAGTTTATTGGGACAAAATGAGCCATGTGCAAAAAAAAAACAATCTCATGTCAAAACATATTATAGTCAATGGTCATCCTATCATATTATTAGTATGGTCATAAACACATGTCTTCCAAACCAATAAAAATAATATTTGTAACATATAAAATTTACAATCCAGGAAATAGGTAATAACACTACTAAAAAAATTGTTATTTCATAATAAATGTATTATATTGTTGGGGTGCTGACTTCAAAAATGACTGTTATATAAGTAAGCTTTATTGGCTTAGCGTTACATTGTCTGTTATTAATATAATAACTGTAWCATCAAAATTATTATTATTTGGTATATAAGACTGAAAATAAATATTAAATATTAATATAGTATTAATACAGAAATTAAATTTAGATAGCAACCAATCACCGAGAAAACACAGAGAATATCTAATTTATTTAGTTATTACAATATTATTAATATATAATATAATACATGCTAGTTTCAATACATCATGGTTGACATGAAAAAAAACATCCAATGTGCAAAATTTACAATTTTGAGATAATGGTATCCTTGAATTCAGAAAATATAGGCAGTAGTTTTGATAAGAACTCCAATATACTATGGCAATCATAAAAGTAATGAAAAATAATAAACAATTCCTCCTATATGTTACCAACCATATATCTTTTTAAATATTTTTCGTCTCTCCTGAAAAATTAGTTTAAGCACATTGGATGTTTTTTCGTATCAATGACGATATATTATTATTGTAAAAGAATATCAACGCATGTGTAAACAATATAAACATAAAATTAATATAATCGATATATTTAAAGTTATGTATATAAATTTACATTTATAAAATACAGATCAAATTTATACTTCTATATTTAACAAAAACTTACATATATGTTTTATTTATACAGTTACATTATTTAAAGCAAGCTTTAAAAAATATCCGTTGCCAGGGTTATAGGGGGTTAAAGCACATAAAATATTATACATAATTTATTAAGTGCACAATTTATCACGCTAAAACCAGTATAATAATAATTAATAATCAATGTTGAAATGGCAAACAGAATTATAAAAAATATAACTTATCAATTCTTAGAACATGCAATTATTTACTCGTGGTATAGGATTTGAGCCTTGAACTGGAATTGGTCTTCTAATTGGACCACAATTATTACTTGGTAAATTAATACCATAATTTTGATTAACAAAATTAAGATTATTTTGATATTGGAAAGGTAATGGTAAAGGCTGAAAGTATTTAATAATTGATAAATGTATTAATAAGGTAACATAATTTTACAAAAAAAGATAATTAATTTGCACTGAGGTTAATTATGTTAACATAATTAGATTACCGGTACTTCATATTGGTGGCTAAATGTATGTAACTGTCTTAGTTCTCTTTCTAAATCTGGTAATGATTTTAAAGACTCGGCAAATACATTTTGATCAGGTTGAATAGAGTCAGCTAAATAATCATTGACTTCCTATAAAAATAAAATATTTTTAATAGTCAAAATTAGATTTAATTTGTTAAATTTATTGATTAAAAAGGCATATATTATAATTTAATTTCAAACTAAAATTAATAATTAAATATTCAGAAATTTTAATCAATTACATAATATATTTTAAAGGGTTTAGTTCATAATATAATAAAATTATTGTGTATTTAATTTGGCCAAATAATCTAGTATGTAAAATTAATATATATTATTTGAAGTTAGCAAAACTATTTTACATGACACATAAACAATGCCATGTTCTATTAGACATGGCAAATTACTAGTTTTTTAAAAAAGCTTCCTTCATGAGCTTAAGTCCACATGTTCAAGTTTCTTATACCAGTGAATAATATGCGAATGTCACTTGATTTTTTTCAAATTGAATGTGAATGTGAACAATTTTATACTTCATTGAATTATGACGAGTTTTAATACGCTCAATTTATTTACCATTTTATAAATATATATTTAAAATATACTTATGAATTATATTATATAATATTTTCTTATTATAACTCACATCATAAACAAATTAAATTAACGACCCAATAAATGCTTTAATTTTTATGAAGAATGTGAATGCACGCGTATTATAAAAAAGACAAATGTAGATGAGTTCCTTTTTTAAGGACCAAACGCAAACAATTTCATTTTTTTAGTGAACGTTCCAAACATAACTCACTACCCACTGAAAACTAAGTTCTTATTATATAACATGTGTTTAAATTGTTTATGGCATCTACATGGCTGTTTAAAATTGTAATACTACACTCTGGATTTATAAACTGAGAACACAGGTAAAAATGATTTACATATATTATTGTAAATTAAATAATATTTACACGCAAGTACTTACTAAATTAAATACATAAAAATATGATACTTACTGTTCCATCAGGCCATTTTTTTTTAGAAACTTCATCATATTTAGCATATTTTTCATGATCTGCTTCCCAATCACCATCTATCAGAATAAATATTTAACAACACAAATTAAAATTGTATTTTGATATTGTTTACAAAATCAGAACAAATTTAAACAATTCTTAAAGTATATTAATTCCTTTGTGAATTAATTACTAATAAAAAGTTTAAAGAACAAAAATAGCTTACAATAATAAATAGAAATGTATAAATACAATAATTACGATAAATTATACTTAAATAAATAGATACTTAGACAAATATAAATAGTTCTAAACATATAAATACTATAAATATTAGTAGATTAATTAAATTAATTATCAGTCAGTGCACATTTTAATGGTTGAAATTGTATTTTTAAGTGTCAAACATCTAACTGATCATAATATTAGATATAGGTACTACTTTCACCATATACAATATTACCTGACATATCATTCCCAAAAGTCTCATCATTAAGAGCATCATATTTGTCTTCATCATAAATTTCTTCTTCAAAATCATCATCAAACTTTGCCTATGTAATAACAATTAAACTAGTTTAATATTTAAAATAAAAATTGGATAGATTATAGACATTGAGTGAGGTGCTTAAGGGTACTCATATTTTTTAAACTTCAGCACAAGATACACCATTTAATTATTATATGTTCAAAGGGTTTTTTAGTGCCTATAGTATTTAATATTTATTTTATTTCTTATTATATAAGCACCCAAAAAAATGTAAAATAACATATTACAATTATTGTAAGGAGTGGAGTGACCCTACTGGGCAACCGGGACATTGTTGTTGACGAAATCCGTTAGCAGTCATTCAATAATCAGGTAATTTTTTACTTTATCATGTAACCGTTCTAAATTAGTATGATGAAGGAATAATAGTAGATTGTTTTCTACCCTTAAATACACAAAAGATAGATTGAAAGACTCAATGACTAACGGTAATCTGGAGCCATATATGTTAATGAATATGGAAAATCAATTTTAATGGTACAATATAATGAATTAATGAACATAATTAATATAAATAATGAACTGGATATATACTAAAAGTAATATTTTAAGTAAATTTTTTTTCGTAATTATTATTAAATAACAAATTTTGTTAAGCATTTATTTAGCAATTTATTTCTTAAGCATAAGTATTATTAGTTTTAATTTATATTGAATAAAAGGACAAGCTAAAAATTGCAATTGTTATTTGTTTGAGATATTAGACACTAATTAATTGGTAGAAGATTTTATTCAATAAAATCGTAACTTTTTAGATAAGAAATTCCAAAAAGTAGGAGGCAAAAAAAATATTCTATTAAAAAATAAAATTGAAAATTGAAAGAGTCAAAAGTAATTAGTGTATTGATATAATACAGTGGCACCCAACTCTATTACTAAGTGTATTACTAAGTGTATTACTACTTTAAAAATAAGGGGTGGGTGGGTATAATAACATAAAATAATTAACTTGAAATAAATTCATAATTAATTATCATATTGGTTGCCGGATGGTATCTATTTACTAATATTATCAATTAAAATAAAATAAAATGTGTAAAATAATATAAAAATAATATAATTTTTAATTTGTGAGGAGGTGAGTGGGATTGGTAAAATTATCCTTGCTACATCTGAAAAAAATATCTTGGGCACCATTAATATAATATTATACTAGTGTAGGTACAGAGAAACTAAAAATAATATAGATTATAGGAGGACATATATTGCGATGATCAGTAAGTTGATTGGACAAAAAAAATTTTAATTAAACCGATGTAAGTAATTAATAAAGATTATATTGAAAGTGATTTGAAAATATTGATTTCCAGGTAAGAATTTTGGAACCACTCCGTCCCAGATTACTGTGATATTAAAATTACTTATGGTACTGAAAAGCATTTATGATCATAAATATGTTAACATTGTTAACATACAAAACAAAATCATAACACAGTCACACAGAGTAGAAACATAACCAGAAGATTTTTTTGATTGTTTAAATTGAATATTAATGTATAACATGAGGTAGGCTTTACATACTGTTGAGATACACAGATATACAGATACTAAAGATATATAATAATAAAATCATATATATATATATATATATTCCGGCCACAAGAGTCTAACCGTAAATCGACCGCAAAAACTTTTTGTTGTTGCCATCGGTCCTCCTCCTATATACTGAATCATACCACAATAGGAGAAAATCCGACCAGCAGATTGTGTGTGTCAATATCAATGCACGGTTTAAAGACTCTCATGGCCCATGGGCTAGGGTATATATTATAATAAGTATAATGATACAATTTACAACAGGGTTACAAAGCTTAATTTAAATCAACAACTAACTGTCCTATACCGGCTACTCTATATAGGACAAATATATTATAGTGTTACACTATCACTATAAATTACTTATAAACTATATGATAGGGAGTGTTTTGTGTATAACTCCAACACATACTCTCCAGTCTCCATTKTATTCATAAATCAACCTTCATATTAACAATATTAACAATATCAAATATAAAATAGAACCGTACAACAACACATTATATGAACACTGAAACATATATTATTGATGGAGGGGGGATGGTGTTTCAACAACCAATACACTTCCTCTACCCTCTGACTATGCCATTGGCACAGAGTAAACTATTATACATACCATATCCACTTATAATGTACCTTCATATTAATACGAAACTATAACATTTTGTTTAGACTATAAACCTAAAGATTAAAACTAATTGGTACCAATAGATTTTAAAAATCTATATATTTATCAAAAATTTTAAAGTGACTAAGTATTATTCACAAATGCACACAATATTTATTCATTTATTGTATCATTTTTGTAAAAGGTCCTTTACTGACACAAGGAGAATAAACACATATTTTAGAGAAAAATAAACGAAAAAATTTGTAAGCAAATAAAGTATACATTTTAGTAKATCAATGCCAAACACTATTCATATTATATTATTTACTATTACATATAACCAAGGATATTCACAAACAGATCTAAATCATCATTAACAATAATGTAACCGACAAAATATTGGCAGGCTTTTAATATATACTTGTAATAGTTTTCTAAGAAATGAAACTATGATCATGARTCTTACAATCTGTAGCTTAAACACTTAAACAATCAAAATATTTAGGTAAAGTAGCCATTAATTCAGACAGACAGAAAGAAGTTCATTAAATATCAAAACAGTAATGAACAGAAATCATTCTACCTCATTATTTGATAATTAGTATACTTTTTTAACATAATAATTGGTTTAGTTTAATTTCTGAGAAAAATTACYCTTGATAAAATGTACAACAAAAATATATTTAAAATCCTGAAAACAGAATCAATATAGTAACAAGATACCTATAAACAATGTTTAACATTCGTGGTCTTGCATTAGGATCGCTATTGAATGTAATATTTCAGGATTAAACATAAGCTAAGGACTGCATAATAATTTAATTTATGAATAAATCTTTTGATTTATCATAATTTGTGCAGATGAGAACAGTTAAATTTGAAGTGCTTGGATCTCGATTCAACGCTAACAGCATAAACATAAACATCGACAAAGSGATGATATTATATTTAGAATTGAGACATCTAAGCAAAACCTGGTAAACAGTGGCAAAGAATTGCACTAATTTTCGATCAAGTCAGAAATAGAAATAGAAATAAAATATGCAATGCTACAGTACGTTACAATCGCATGAAAGTGATGTGTCGACAAACGGACGACACTGGACTAGTACAGACGTCTCTGGTCGTTCGGGGCCAGAAAAACGTTTGTCTGGGCCGACGATCGAACGTTTGATCGAAACCAGAGGTATGCAATACTGTATTGGAACACACTGCAGAACTGAACTGTCAAAATGGGATGCGTTTACCTGTTGATCCGTCAAAAAGTCTTCACCGTCCATGGCGAACGGCGATAAGTGCGTTTTTGGAGGTAAAACCTGAAATCTTTCGTGGAGCCGAATTCGTCCCGAACTCAAGCCATAGTCTTTCGCAGTTCCACTAACACGGAAAACATGCACTAGAGAATTTTTTTCGTTTTAATTGATAAAAATTTGATAAGACGCGACGACAATGTACACATTTGGAGGTTATATCGGCGGTGTTCGGGGCGGGCTAGTGCCTAGTCGGGCTACCTTCATTACAGCCTACAGGACGCTTGTCGGTTATTCACCCTGCCGACTTATTGTCGGGTCCGACGACTGATAATAGACCRTATTACGAGCCGGGTAATCTATCGAAAAAAGGTTTTTAAAATTTAAAATATACATTTATGAAAAGGTGTATTTCTTTGACGTTAAAAACCCTGCTGGTAACGTTGTWTTTGTTGTTATTATTATCGGATCGGATCTGGCTGTATTGATAACACATTAATACGATTGTTGTGTAGTTGTGTTTATTGTCATTGATTAAAACATTAATTAATAATACCTACATAATTCCATTCAATTTTTTTATGATAACGCTTTGGCAAAAGATAGATCACCATCGCATCATGTTAATAATATAATTAAAATTAGTAGGTATTTAAGTTAATAATAATTATGCGAAATCCGATTATAATGTATTGCGCTTACATTTGGCTCAATGGCTGAGTACTGAGTTTGGGCACTTTGAAAGTTTTATGAGTGAAGATAATTAGACAGATCCTTACTTTTTGGTTGATACTCCAATRGTTCACGCATATTATATTACTATATCTAATAATTAAAATTCGGCCGTCGTGCATTAAAAAATAACAATATTAACATCAAAACGAACAACAGGGGTGGTTCTTAAGTGACCACATGATACAAAAAAAAATTTAGATGTACCTACCTATACTTTAATTCATGACAAATACTAAAGTAGGCACTAGGTGTCTAGGTACTAATTAAAATGTTTTAAAAATAAAATAGAAAACTGCATATTTTACGAGGAAGGAATACGGGCTTTGAAATTTTGAACATTTTACCTACCTACTATATTTTTCGAGTTTAACATTTTCAAAAGTTATATTATGTGCATGTCAATGGCATAAGTAATCAATCGTTGACTTTTGATGAAACAAAAAAAAAAATTGTATCTTCTTTTCTTACATTGAAGGTTTAAGGATTAAAAAAATTGATCTTTCAATAGCCTACAAGGCATTTAAATGCATCCAGCAGTTGCGTAGTGTGGGTTAAGCTTAGCGTA